CTTCAAATATAACTTTGAATTATTGAAAAGTACTTGGAAAAATTTTCAAAACTTAGAAAACTTCGATAAAAATCCCACAATTTTTTTTTTAAAAAATCCAATGTCAACAAATAACTACTTGAAACTTCAAGTTCAATTTTAAAGTACTCGAAAAAATTTCAAAACTTGGAAATTTTCGAGAAAAATTTGGCAAAAAAAAAAAAAACGCTTTTTCAAGAAAAAAATGCGATGTTAACAAAAAAATACTTGAAACTTCAAATATAACTTTGAATTATTGAAAAGTACTTGGAAAAATTTTCAAAACTTAGAAAACTTCGATAAAAATCCCACAATTTTTTTTTTAAAAAATCCAATGTCAACAAATAACTACTTGAAACTTCAAGTTCAATTTTAAAGTACTCGAAAAAAATTTCAAAACTTGGAAATTTTCGAGAAAAATTTGGCAAAAAAAAAAACGCTTTTTCAAGAAAAAAATGCGATGTTAACAAAAAAATACTTGAAACTTCAAATATAACTTTGAATTATTGAAAAGTACTTGGAAAAATTTTCAAAACTTAGAAAACTTCGATAAAAATCCCACAATTTTTTTTTTAAAAAATCCAATGTCAACAAATAACTACTTGAAACTTCAAGTTCAATTTTAAAGTACTCGAAAAAATTTCAAAACTTGGAAATTTTCGAGTAAAATTTGGCAAAAAAAAAAAAACGCTTTTTCAAGAAAAAAATGCGATGTTAACAAAAAAATACTTGAAACTTCAAATATAACTTTGAATTATTGAAAAGTACTTGGAAAAATTTTCAAAACTTAGAAAACTTCGATAAAAATCCCACAATTTTTTTTTTTTAAAATCCAATGTCAGAAATAACTACTTGAAACTTCAAGTTCAATTTTAAAGTACTCGAAAAAATTTCAAAACTTGGAAATTTTCGAGTAAAATTTGGCAAAAAAAAAAAAAACGCTTTTTCAAGAAAAAAAATGCGATGTTAACAAAAAAATACTTGAAACTTCAAATATAACTTTGAATTATTGAAAAGTACTTGGAAAAATTTTCAAAACTTAGAAAACTTCGATAAAAATCCCACAATTTTTTTTTTAAAAAATCCAATGTCAACAAATAACTACTTGAAACTTCAAGTTCAATTTTAAAGTACTCGAAAAAATTTCAAAACTTGGAAATTTTCGAGAAAAATTTGGCAAAAAAAAAAAACGCTTTTTCAAGAAAAAAATGCGATGTTAACAAAAAAATACTTGAAACTTCAAATATAACTTTGAATTATTGAAAAGTACTTGGAAAAATTTTCAAAACTTAGAAAACTTCGATAAAAATCCCACAATTTTTTTTTTAAAAAATCCAATGTCAACAAATAACTACTTGAAACTTCAAGTTCAATTTTAAAGTACTCGAAAAAATTTCAAAACTTGGAAATTTTCGAGAAAAATTTGGCAAAAAAAAAAAAACGCTTTTTCAAGAAAAAAATGCGATGTTAACAAAAAAATACTTGAAACTTCAAATATAACTTTGAATTATTGAAAAGTACTTGGAAAAATTTTCAAAACTTAGAAAACTTCGATAAAAATCCCACAATTTTTTTTTTAAAAAATCCAATGTCAACAAATAACTACTTGAAACTTCAAGTTCAATTTTAAAGTACTCGAAAAAATTTCAAAACTTGGAAATTTTCGAGAAAAATTTGGCAAAAAAAAAAAAACGCTTTTTCAAGAAAAAAATGCGATGTTAACAAAAAAATACTTGAAACTTCAAATATAACTTTGAATTATTGAAAAGTACTTGGAAAAATTTTCAAAACTTAGAAAACTTCGATAAAAATCCCACAATTTTTTTTTTAAAAAATCCAATGTCAACAAATAACTACTTGAAACTTCAAGTTCAATTTTAAAGTACTCGAAAAAATTTCAAAACTTGGAAATTTTCGAGAAAAATTTGGCAAAAAAAAAAAAACGCTTTTTCAAGAAAAAAATGCGATGTTAACAAAAAAATACTTGAAACTTCAAATATAACTTTGAATTATTGAAAAGTACTTGGAAAAATTTTCAAAACTTAGAAAACTTCGATAAAAATCCCACAATTTTTTTTTTAAAAAATCCAATGTCAACAAATAACTACTTGAAACTTCAAGTTCAATTTTAAAGTACTCGAAAAAATTTCAAAACTTGGAAATTTTCGAGAAAAATTTGGCAAAAAAAAAAAAAACGCTTTTTCAAGAAAAAAATGCGATGTTAACAAAAAAATACTTGAAACTTCAAATATAACTTTGAATTATTGAAAAGTACTTGGAAAAATTTTCAAAACTTAGAAAACTTCGATAAAAATCCCACAATTTTTTTTTTAAAAAATCCAATGTCAACAAATAACTACTTGAAACTTCAAGTTCAATTTTAAAGTACTCGAAAAAATTTCAAAACTTGGAAATTTTCGAGAAAAATTTGGCAAAAAAAAAAAAACGCTTTTTCAAGAAAAAAATGCGATGTTAACAAAAAAATACTTGAAACTTCAAATATAACTTTGAATTATTGAAAAGTACTTGGAAAAATTTTCAAAACTTAGAAAACTTCGATAAAAATCCCACAATTTTTTTTTTAAAAAATCCAATGTCAACAAATAACTACTTGAAACTTCAAGTTCAATTTTAAAGTACTCGAAAAAATTTCAAAACTTGGAAATTTTCGAGAAAAATTTGGCAAAAAAAAAAAAACGCTTTTTCAAGAAAAAAATGCGATGTTAACAAAAAAATACTTGAAACTTCAAATATAACTTTGAATTATTGAAAAGTACTTGGAAAAATTTTCAAAACTTAGAAAACTTCGATAAAAATCCCACAATTTTTTTTTTAAAAAATCCAATGTCAACAAATAACTACTTGAAACTTCAAGTTCAATTTTAAAGTACTCGAAAAAATTTCAAAACTTGGAAATTTTCGAGAAAAATTTGGCAAAAAAAAAAAAAACGCTTTTTCAAGAAAAAAATGCGATGTTAACAAAAAAATACTTGAAACTTCAAATATAACTTTGAATTATTGAAAAGTACTTGGAAAAATTTTCAAAACTTAGAAAACTTCGATAAAAATCCCACAATTTTTTTTTTAAAAAATCCAATGTCAACAAATAACTACTTGAAACTTCAAGTTCAATTTTAAAGTACTCGAAAAAATTTCAAAACTTGGAAATTTTCGAGAAAAATTTGGCAAAAAAAAAAAACGCTTTTTCAAGAAAAAAATGCGATGTTAACAAAAAAATACTTGAAACTTCAAATATAACTTTGAATTATTGAAAAGTACTTGGAAAAATTTTCAAAACTTAGAAAACTTCGATAAAAATCCCACGATTTTTTTTTTAAAAAATCCAATGTCAACAAATAACTACTTGAAACTTCAAGTTCAATTTTTAAGTACTCGAAAAAATTTCAAAACTTAGAAATTTTCGAGAAAAATTTGGCAAAAAAACCGCTTTTTCAAGAAAAAAATGCGATGTTAACAAAAAAGTACTTGAAACTTCAAATATAACTTTGAATTATTGAAAAGTACTTGGAAAGATGATTCTGATAAAAATCAAAAAAATTTCAAGTACTTAATTTTTTAAACAGTTTTAAAATTAGTTTTGAAATTTTTTAGTTTTCAAGATTTGTTTCAAGTACTTTTTGATAACTTGAAAGTATATTTTGAAGTACTTTTCAATATTTTAAAGTATCAAAAAAAATTTCAAGTACTTATTTTTGACAGTTTTAATTCAGTTTTCAAGTACTTTTAATGAGTACTTTTTTCTATTTTCAAGTAATTTTCAATATGTATTTGAAAATTTTCCAGGAGAAATAGGAAAGTGAGGAGATTTTTATAGGAAAATTCCAAAATTTTCCAACTGAAAATGACTCTAGGAAAAATTCTGGAAAATTGACTTATTTAAGCAAAATTAAGAAAAATTCACTTCTTGCATTTTAATTTTTTTCTGGAAAACTGGCAAAGGGAAAATTTTGAAATTTTTCCAGGAGAGAGAGGAAAGTGTGGAGATCATTATAGGAAAATTCCAAAATTTTTCAGTCGAAAATCACTCCAGGAAAAATTCTGGAAAATTGACTTTTTTAAACAAAATCAAGGAAAATTCATCCCTTTAAATTTTAATTTTTTTCTGGAAAACTAGTAAAGGGAAAAATTAGAAAATTTTCCAAGAGAAAAAGGAAGATGAGAAGATTATTTTAGGAAAATTTCAAAATTTTCCAATGAAAAATCACTCCAGGAAAAAGTCCAGAAAATTGACTTTTTTAAGCAAAATTAAGGAAAATTCACACTATTACATTTTAATTTTTTCCTGGAAAACTGGCAAAGGGAAAAATTTGAAAATTTTCCAGGAGAAAGAGGAAAGCGAAGAGATTATTATAGGAAAATCTCAAAATTTTTTAGTGGAAAATCACTCCAGGAAGAATTCTGGAAAACTGACTTTTTTAGGCAAAATTAAGGAAAATTCATCCTCTTATTTTTTAATTTTTTTTCTGGAAAACTGGTAGAGGGAAAAATTTGAAAATTTTTCAGGAGAAAGAGGAAAGTGAGGAAACCATTATAGGAAAATTTCAAAATTTTCCAGTAAAAAATTTTGTAAAATTGACTTTTTCAAGTAAACTTAAGGAAAATGTATCCTTTTACATTTTAATTTTTTCCTGAAAAACTGCTAGAAGGAAAATTTTAAAAAATTTCCAGTGAAAAATCACTTTAGGAGAAATTTATTTATATATTTTTGGATAACTGAATAAACTCTATTCTAAGTTAAAAAATGTATTACAAAACAATAATTCCGAAGGTGCTCCATGAATTAATCTATAACCTGACTTTTTTTCTAAGTTATGACGTCATCGATGACGTAAGTAAAAACCTTTATGCCATGCAACGAACTATAATCAGCACCCCTCAAATTTGAAGCCTAGTTGCGCTTATGCAAGTGTTTTAAACACAACTATTTCATCAACCTCAAACTAATTATTATTTACTCAAAGGTTCCTTCTTTGTCGACCAAAACGATTCTTTGGACTTTAGTACCAGCAAATTAGTGGTACAAGAGGAGGAAAATGAAGACGCTTGCATTACACACTCAGACTCTGTAGAAATTTTAGGCGACAGTTCAATTGAAATCATTAGTACCGACGAAAGTACCACCCAACAATTAACTGACGAGTTTGTTTCGCCTTTAGATTCTCCAATTGTTGTAGATGGCAAATTAAGGTTAATTTTCTAATTTGTTTTAAGTTAAAATAATCAACTTTTCTTATTGCAGTTCACCTGAAAGTGTGGAAATAATTCCAGAAAACCAAGAAGAAACCAGCATTGCTGACGATACAATGTCGTGTACTTCAATTTCTGAAACTACCGTGCTAGATTTGACTCAGAAAATGCTATATAATGAATCAGTTGAAGCTATTACGAGAGCGCCAGGTCGCAGCATGCATTTAGCTTTAATAGATGAGAAAACCAACATAATCGATATTCCTTTGCTAGACAGCTCAGATGGTTCAATATCGGATAAAACCCTGGTAGATGTTCAAATTGTAGAGGGCAGCAGCAGCGATACTGCAAGTACTACTACAGATGTCAGCAGCAATTCTACTTATTTGAAAAAGATGCTCGCGGATGCAATGGTAAAGAAGTAAGCTGCAAAAGTTAGCTCCCCCATAACTGAATTTGAAACTTTTTTGGTAGAAATGGGGCTAACTTGACCCCTATTTGTTGAATTTCGAATTTAAAAAAAAAAGTGTTTTTCTTGAGAATCAAAATAATTGCATTGCACATTATTATATTATAATCGGCGTTAATTTTCTTAGATTATTTTTTTTTAATAATTTGTTCCTTTTTACAATTATTTTTTTTCGGCGTTTTTTTTCTTAGAAGAATTTTTTCCGACGTGAATTTTCTTAGATTACTTTTTTCCAGCGTTTTTTTTCTTAGAAAATTTTTTTTCCAGCGTTTTTTTTCTTAGAATTTTTTTTTTGCCATTAATTTTCTTGGATTATTTTTTTTTATATATTTTTTTCCCTTTTACAATAATTTTTTTTCAGCATTCTTTTCCTTTGGAAATTTTTTTCCGGCGTTTTTTTTCTTAGAAATATTTTTTCCGGCGTTAATTTTCTTAGATTATTTGTTTTTTTTATTTTTTTCCCTTTTACAATTATTTTTTCAGCGTTCTTTTTCTTAGGAAATTTTTTTCTGGCCTATTTTTTAAAAAAAAAATTTTTTTCGGCGTTAATTTTCTTAGATTATTTTTTTTTAATAATTTTTTCCTTTCTGCAATTATTTTTTGTCGGCGTTTTTTTTGTTGGAAAAATTTTTTCCGACGTGAATTTTCTTAGATTATTTTTTTCCAGCGTTTTTTTTCTTAGAAAATTTTTTTTCCAGCGTTTTTTTTCTTAGAATTTTTTTTTCTGCCGTTAATTTTCTTGGATTATTTTTTTTTATATATTTTTTTCCCTTTTACAATAATTTTTTTTCAGCATTCTTTTCCTTTGGAAATTTTTTTCCGGCGTTTTTTTTCTTAGAAATATTTTTTCCGGCGTTAATTTTCTTAGATTATTTGTTTTTTTTATTTTTTTCCCTTTTACAATTATTTTTTCAGCGTTCTTTTTCTTCGGAAATTTTTTTCTGGCCTATTTTTTTAAAAAAAAATTTTTTTCGGCGTTAATTTTCTTAGATTATTTTTTTTTAATAATTTTTTCCTTTCTGCAATTATTTTTTGTCGGCGTTTTTTTTGTTGGAAAAATTTTTTCCGACGTGAATTTTCTTAGATTATTTTTTTCCAGCGTTTTTTTTCTTAGAAAATTTTTTTTCCAGCGTTTTTTTTCTTAGAATTTTTTTTTCTGCCGTTAATTTTCTTGGATTATTTTTTTTTATATATTTTTTTCCCTTTTACAATAATTTTTTTTCAGCATTCTTTTCCTTTGGAATTTTTTTTCCGGCGTTTTTTTTCTTAGAAATATTTTTTCCGGCGTTAATTTTCTTAGATTATTTGTTTTTTTAATTTTTTCCTTTCTGCAATTATTTTTTTTCGGCGTTTTTTTTCTTAGAAAATTTTTTTTCCAGCGTTTTTTTTCTTAGAATTTTTTTTTTCTGCCGTTAATTTTCTTGGATTATTTTTTTTTATATATTTTTTTCCCTTTTACAATTATTTTTTTCGGCGTTTTTTTTCTTAGAAAATTTTTTTCCGACGTGAATTTTCTTAGATTATTTTTTTTAAATAATTTTGTCATTTTTGACACTTTTCTTTATTTATTGACATTTTAAACAGTTTTTTTCATGTATTGTCATTTTCGATATTTTTTCAATTATTGGTATTTTGGCAATAAAAAAACTTAAAAATATCAGTTCATTAAAAAAAACTGTCAAAAATGTCCCAAACCTAATTGTCAAGAATCATTTAATTTTCAAAAACAGTTTCCCTCGAAAAATTTATTGTCAAAAAAGTTTCGACAGCTTTTTTCATTTAATAATATTTTTGACAATATTTTTTGTTTATTGACATTTTTAAGAGTTTTTTTCATGTATTGACATTTCTGACAACTTTTTTCATTGAGTGGCATTTATGACAGTTTTTTTTATTTATTTACATTCTGACAATTAATAGCTATTTAGTTTGTTGAATTTGACAATTATTATATTTATTGACATATGACATTTATTTCAATTGTTAACAATATTTGATTTTTGTTTTGTTTGCTGACATTTTTGACAATTGTTTCATTAATTGACATTTGACAATATTGGTTCCGTTGATCAACATTTTACAATTGTTCCATTAGTTGACATCTGAAAATTGTTTCATCAATTGACAATTGATAGTTATTTTGTTTTTTGACATTTGACAATATTTTGTTGACATTTGACAATTGTTTCATTAGTTGATATTTGACAATTGTTTCGTTTATTGACATTTTTGAATTTTTTTTATTTATTGATAATTTTTTTATTTTTCGAAATTATTGATTTGACAGTTCTGACAGTTTTTTATGTATGTTGAGATCTTTAACAGTTTTTTTCATGTGTCAAAAATGTCATAAATGAAAAAAACTGTAAAAATATCAAAAAATTTAAAAAAACTTGAAAATGTCAATGAATAGAAAAAAAAACTGTCAGAAATTTCACAAATTTAATTGTCAAGAAACATTCAATTGTCAAAAAAAAGTTTAACAATTTAATTATAGTTTTTTTTTCTATTTGTTGACATTTGACAGTTTTTTTTGATTTTTGAAATTTTTGACAGTTTTGACAATTTATTTTATATGTTGACATTTAACAATTTGAGAGTTTTTTTTATGGACATTTTAGACAGTTTTTTTATTCATCAACATATTTGACAGGTATTTCATTTATTGACACTTCTGACAACTTTTTTTATTGATTGGCATTTTTGTTAGTTTTTTAATTTATTTACATTTTGACAATTGTTTTGTTAATCAACATTTAACAATTGTTCCATTAGTTGACATTTAATAATTGTTTCATTAGTTGACAATTGATAGTTATTTTGTTTTTGACATTTGACAGTTTTTTTGCTGACATTTGTTTCACTAGTTGACATTCAACAATTGTTTTGTTTATTGACATTTACTTTCCACCGTTTTTTTTTTATTTTTTGAAATTTTTGATAGATTTTTGTTTCTTGACATTTCTGACATTTTTTTTTATTTATTGAGATTTTAAATTTTTTTTTTTATTGACATTTCTGACAATTTTTCTCAATTCAAACATGTCAAAAAACAAAAGAAACAGTCAAAAATGATAATAAATAAAAAAAATTCAAAAATGTCAATATATAAAAAATACCTGTAAAATATCAATAAATACAAAAAATCGTTAGAAATGTCAATAAATAAAATAACTGTCATAAATGAAAAAAAACTGTAAAAAATATCAAAAAAATTGAAAATGTTAATAAACAAACAGAAAAAGTGTCAAAACTGTCAATAAATAAAAATCTGCCAAGAATTTAAAAAAATAGAAAAAAAAACCGTCAACAATGTCAATAAACAAAACAATTGTTAAATGTCAACTAATGGAATAATTGTCAAATGTCAACAAATGAAACAATTGTCAAAAATGTCAACAAACTAAACAAAAATCAGTTATTGTTAACAATTAGAATAAATGTCATATATCAATAAACAAAAATCGATTGTCAAAATGTAAATAAATGAAAAAAATTGTCAAAAATGTCAAACAATGAAAAAAATTGTCAGAAGTGTCAATGAATGAAAAAAGTGTCTAAAATGTTAATAAATAAACTTTCAAATGTTAATTAAGTAACATATAAACTATTAAAATTATTTTCAAATGTCAATAAACGCAACAACTGCCAAATGTCATTGAACAAAATAATTGTCAAATGTCAACAAACAAAACAACTATGAATTGTCAAAAAAAACTTGTCAAAAATGTTAAATGTCAACAAACAAAATAAATTGTCAAATTTCAATTAAAAATAAAATTGTCAAATGTTAATAAATAAAACGAATGTCTAATGTTGACAAACAAAACAACTATATCAATTATCAAAACTCAAAACTGTCTAAAATGTCGATAAATAAATAAACTGTCAAAAATGTTAATGAATTTAAAAAAGTTTTTTTTCTTAGAAATTTTTTTTCTGCCGTTAATTTTCTTAGATTATTTTTTTTGTATATATTTTTTTCCCTTTAAAAATTATTTTTTTCCGACGTTTTTTTTCTTAGAAAATTTTTTTCTAGCGTTTTTTTTCTTAGATTTTTTTTTTCTGCCGTTAATTTTCTTGGATTATTTTTTTTATGTATTTTTTTCCCTTTTACAATTATTTTTTTTCAGCATTCTTTTTCTTAGAAAATTTTTTTGTTAAAAATTGCTAGGAATTTTCGCAATAAGTTTTGATATGCATTATAAATATCTTTTTAATAATATTGTAATTTTTGAAGATGGGATTCAATATTTAGCAATAAGGGACACTGGCCTTATTAGGTACATGGCCTTATTTGGGCCAGGTACCTTATATAAAAAAAAAAAAAAAAAAAACTATACAACCTTTATAATACCTTTCGGTCGTTTTTTTTCTTTAAAAGACTCCCGTTTGGAATATCTTGTGCTCCAAAATATTTCGTTATGTGTTTTTCAAAAATTTTATTTTAACTGGAATTGAAGGTTGTGTCACTTATATGGATGAAATTTCTTATTCGGAACATTTTCTTTTAAATTTTGACTCTATTAAAATTCTCTATAAATTTGTGCCAAATTAATTGAACTTGATATTGTTGACATGGTCATGGGAAAAATCATATTATAGTGAAAAAACTTTGCAGCTACAAAACTACATTGGAACGCACTTTACTGAAAATTGGAAAAAAGTTTGATAAAGAACGATATTTTATAATGGGAAAAACGGCATCAATATCAATGCTTATTTCCATTTGAGGGTATCTAAAGGCAATTCCCTAAGAAAAATTTGGTTCAATTCAAATTATTATTTTACAATATTCATAGTGTTATCAAATTCAACTTTGACAGTCTAATTTTCAATAAAAATGACACAAATTTTGAAGTTTAATAAGTGTCATAATAATAACATTTGATAGGTTCATTGAACATCGAACTGACAGCTGTCAAAAATCGTTATATATAGTAATACCTAAGAATCTTCAACTTTAAGTTATAGAATTGGACATTGTGAAATGTCGTGACCGAGCCAAAAAAAGTGTTTGGTGGATTGGTTTTTCATCCTAGATTAATTATCTTATAACACATTGTACCCAACATGTTGAACACCAGGAAAATCATAGAGAGATACTTACCAAAATAGCACAATTCCTAATATTAATTCTAGCACATCTGATTTCTACCAAATAAGTTTCAAATTCAATGATGGGGGGGCTAAACTTGACGCAGCTAAAATATAATCATAAATAAATTTTGAATATTTTAGGCCGAAAAATCTAGTCAATCCGATCTAGTCAAAATAGGTTCGGACCATACGTCGTGCGACGAACTCGAAACCACTACGTCATCGGACATTGAAATCATTTCTAGTCCTAACGGGGACTCTAGCAGCACTCAGAGCAGGCAAAGCCCCATCAAAAAACCCGAATTGTCCAGTGACGATTCATGTGACATTAATAAACTGTTGAGACGAATAGCCGAAATGACTGACATCTTGGAATCAAGAGAATCGAAACTAATTGAAACAAACAGGTAATAATTATAGTTAGAGGCCAATATGTAATCTGTTTGCAAAAAAGTGAGTCAAGTATAAGCAAAAAATATTATAGTTAACTATAGAAAACTTACACTTATGGGCGACGGCAGACCGCTAGAGGCGCTGCTCCAGTGTTATATACAGTTTCTGTTGCTACTGAATACCTAGTTGCTACGTCTAATTTCCTGTTTAAATAGAAAATATATAAACTAAAACAAAATTATGCTCTACCGCCGATCTAAAGATTTTCCCACGGTATCGAAAAAGTTACCAGGCTCAGGTGCCCCCGTTATTACCCTGCTGGCCAAATCGCTGAAAATGATCTAAAAAATGTCCCAGTGAAATTTAATGCTTTTAGACAAAGGATAACGCACACCTAACATGGGATTTTTGGGCTCTATGGATTTTGTCCATTTTTTGATATGTTGTAGAGGATTTAATTCTGAACAACCTTTAAATGGGACGAAATTTTTTACAAATTGACCTTTAAAGGGGGTGTGCGCCAAAAATTAAAGTTTTAGTGTAAAAAAAAAATCTAAGAATAACTGTTCAAACCTCGTTATTCTACCATAAACCATCGCTGAGATATACCGTTTTAAAGTGTGTGTGACGTCACAAGAGCTTCGTCCAGCATTGTTAATTTGATTGTTCCCGGCACGCCTGAGTGGTTTTTGTTTAGATTATTGCAGCTAACACAGAAAAAAAAATATGTAAATTCAATTTACTTCACTTTCTCGTACGTTGCTTGAGCTTTTGTGACGTCATATGATGATAGAGCCATATCTTCGGTATTATTTGTCATAGAGGGGTGCGGTTTTCACTGTTATTCTTAGATTTTTTTTATCTTTAACTAATAGTATATAAGTAACTATTATTTATTATTCTATTTGGATATTTTTAAGGCGTAACGCAGAGCTGCAAGAGCAAAACTCGGACCTCAAAAACCAATTAAATTGCCTCCTGCAACAGCAACAAGACATAGATTTGAGTCAAGTGACCGAAGAATACACGCAAAGATTGTCAGCTTTGGAAAAAAAATTCCAACAAGCCTTGCGGGAAAAAGATGTTTTGAAAAAGCAGCTGGAACAAGCCAAATTGGATGTGGCCGCTCGTTTGAGCAAAAACGAGCTGGAATCGGCCGTGGCAGACAAAGAGGAAGTTATCAGAGAGTTGCGGCAAGAGGGAGAGAAACTATCCAAGCAACAGTTGCAGCATGGAAACATTATAAAGAAGCTGAGGGCAAAAGAAAAGGAACACGAGGCGACAATTAAGACTTTAAGGTAGGTATATTAGAGTAGTTTTTTGGTGTGAATGTTTACTAATCGTAGGTGGCCATGGAAAAGCTGTCATTTTTTTCAATCATTGTACCAGAAATTATTTTGATTGGACGCAGTATTACCAACTGTTCAATTATTCTCCAGCTAAGCCAATCAAATGCCTGGAATAATCACTCAGTTATTATACAAATTCTGGTGAATGTTAGAAAGTGCCTCAAAATAGGGTGGGGGTGACCATACTTTTTTCCGAAATATCACTTTAAAAATAACATACCCAAGTAAAGTTGGCTATAAAACAGTGTTGCCACCTGAAAAAAAAAAATTATAAATTCCCTAAAAAAGTTGTTTTTTACTGATACAATTTTTTTCCATCAAAATAACTTTGAATAATTACGTTGTAGAACCAAATCGAACATTTTAAACTATAACAGCTGTCAAAAAATGTCAAGATGACATTTGACAAATGTCAATTTTTTTTTTTTTATCGAAATAACACAAATTTGACATTAAATTGTCAAAAAATCACAAGGTTACAAGGCCATCGGACATGTTATTGTCAAACTTAACTTTAATAGCTGTCAAAAACGACGATTTTATTTCCACAAAAGTGACCTATAGACATTATATCTGTCAAAATACTACTATTTGACGATTTCAATTTTTTTATCAGGTCATCGAATATTTTATCGTCAAATTTAACTTTGATGACAGCTGTCAATATTGAATTTGTTCAGTTAATTAAAAAAAAAATTAACACCTGTCAAAATATCATATGATTCTGACAATGAGATGTCATTATTGATTATTGATATTTTTGTTTAACAGCTGTAAAAATTCGAATATGTTGAGCGAATTTGTAAAAAAATTGACACCTGTCAAAATTTTATTTGATTTTGACAATTCGATATCAATTATTAAAGTCGTAGCTAAAATCTTTATTGATTGAAATTATTTTAAAAAAATGACAGCTGTCAAAATTTACTTTTTAGAAAATTGACACCTGTCAAAATGTCATAATTTTGACAATATGATGTCAATTATTATGGTCATAGATAAAATTTTTGTTGATTGAAATTTAAAAAAAATTTAACAGCTGTCAAAATTTACTATTTTAAAAATTGACACCTGTTAAAATGTCATGATTTTGACAATATGATGTCAATTATTAAATTCGTAGATAAAATCTTTGTTAATTGAAATTAAAAAAAAATTTGACAGCTGTGAAAATTTACTTTCAAAAAAAATTGACACCTGTCAAAACGTCATGATTTCGAGAATATGATGTCAATTATTAAAGTCGTAGCTAAAATCTTTATTGATTGAAATTATTTTTAAAAAATGACAGCTGTCAAAATTTACTTTTTAGAAAATTGACACCTGTCAAAATGTCATAATTTTGACAATATGATGTCAATTATTATAGTCCTAGATAAAATTTTTGTTGATTGAAATTAAAAAAAAATTTAACAGCTGTCAAAATCTACTATTTTAAAAATTGACACCTGTCAAAATATCATGATTTTGACAATTCGATGTCAATTATTAAAATCATAGATTAAAATCTTTGTTGATTGAAATTTAAATTTTTTTGACAGCTGTCAAAATTTACTTTTTTGAAAAATTGACACCTGTCAAAATATCATAATTTTGACAATACGATGTCAATTATTAAAGTCGTAGATGAAATCTTTGTTGATAGAAATTGAATTTTTTTCGCCAGCTGTTAAAATTTACTTTTTTAAAAAATGAACACCTGTCAAAATTTCATAATTTTGACAATATGATGTCAAGTATTAAAGTCGTAAATAAACTCTTTGTTGAAGAAAATTGATTTTTTTTTACAGCTGTTAAAATTTACTTTTAAAAAATTGACACCTTTCAAAATGTCATAATTTCGACAATATGATGTCAATTATTAGAGTCGTAAATAAAATCTTTGTTGATTAAAATTCAAATAAAATTGACAACTGTTTAAATTTATTTTTTAAAAAAGTGACACCTGTCAGAATGTCATGATTTTGACAATATAATATCAATTATTAAATTCGTAAATAAAATCTTTGTTAATTGAAATTCAAAAAAATTTGACAGCTGTGAAAATTTACTTTAAAAAAAAATTGACACCTGTCAAAACGTCATGATTTCGACAATATGATGTCAATTATTAAAGTCGTAGCTAAAATCTTTATTGATTGAAATTATTTTAAAAAAATGACAGCTGTCAAAATTTACTTTTTAGAAAATTGACACCTGTCAAAATGTCATAATTTTGACAATATGATGTCAATTATTATAGTCATAGATAAAATTTTTGTTGATTGAAATTAAAAAAAAATTTAACAGCTGTCAAAATTTACTATTTTAAAAATTGACACCTGTTAAAATGTCATGATTTTGACAATATGATGTCAATTATTAAAATCGTAGATAAAATCTTTGTTAATTGAAATTCAAAAAAATTTGACAGCTGTGAAAATTTGCTTTAAAAAAAAATGAACACCTGTCAAAACGTCATGATTTCGACAATATGTCAATTATTAAAGTCGTAGCTAAAATCTTTATTGATTGAAATTATTTTAAAAAAATGACAGCTGTCAAAATTTACTTTTTAGAAAATTGACACCTGTCAAAATGTCATAATTTTGACAATATGATGTCAATTATTATAGTCCTAGATAAAATTTTTGTTGATTGAAATTTAAAAAAAATTTAACAGATGTCAAAATCTACTATTTTAAAAATTGACACCTGTCAAAATGTCATGATTTTGACAATTCGATGTCAATTATTAAAATCATAGATTAAAATCTTTGGTTGATTGAAATTTAAATTTTAAAATTTACTTTTTTGAAAAATTGACACCTGTCAAAATGTCATAATTTTGACAATACGATGTCAATTATTAAAGTCGTAGATGAAATCTTTGTTGATAGAAATTGAATTTTTTTCGCCAGCTGTTAAAATTTACTTTTTTAAAAAATGAACACCTGTCAAAATTTCATAATTTTGACAATATGATGTCAAGTATTAAAGTCGTAAATAAACTCTTTGTTGAAGAAAATTGATTTTTTTTTACAGCTGTTAAAATTTACTTTTAAAAAATTGACACCTTTCAAAATGTCATAATTTCGACAATATGATGTCAATTATTAGAGTCGTAAATAAAATCTTTGTTGATTAAAATTCAAAAAAAATTGACAACTGTTTAAATTTATTTTTTAAAAAATTGACACCTGTCAGAATGTCATGATTTTGACAATATGATGTCAATTATTAAATTCGTAAATAAAATCTTTGTTAATTGAAATTCAAAAAAATTTGACAGCTGTGAAAATTTACTTTAAAAAAAAATTGACACCTGTCAAAATGTCATGATTTCGACAATATGATGTCAATTATTAAAGTCGTAGCTAAAATCTTTATTGATTGAAATTATTTTAAAAAAATGACAGCTGTCAAAATTTACTTTAAAAAAAAATTGACACCTGTCAAAATGTCATAATTTTGACAATATGATGTCAATTATTATAGTCATAGATAAAATTTTTATTGATTGAAATTATTTTAAAAAAATGACAGCTGTCAAAATTTACTTTTTTAAAAAAATTGACACTTGTCAAAATGTCATAATTTTGACAATATGATGTCAATTATTAAAGCCGTAGATAAGATCTTTTTTTATTGAAATTGGATTTTTTTTGATAGCTGTCAAAATTTACTATTTTTAAAAATTGACCTGTCAAAATGACATTATGACTTGAAGTTTCAAGTACTTTTTTGTTAACATCGCATTTATTTCTTGAAAAAGCGTTTTTTTTTCTTGCCAAATTTTCCTCGAAAATTTCCAAGTTTTGAAATTTTTTCGAGTACTTTAAACTTGAACTTAAAGTTTCAAGTAGTTATATATTTTCAATTCAATTTTAAAGTACTTGAAAAAATTTCAAAACTTGGAAATTTTCGAAAAAAATTTATCAAAAAATCCTATTTAAATAAGAAGTACTTGAAATTTTAAATCCAACTTTAAAAAGTGTTGAAAAGTACTTGGAAAAATTTTCAAAACTTAGAAAACTTCGATAAAAATCCCACATTTTTTTTTTTTAAATCCAATGTCAACAAACAACTACTTGAAACTTCAAGTTCAATTTTAAAGTATTCGAAAAAATTTCAAAGCTTGGAAAATTCTGATAAAAATCAAAAAAATTTCAAGTACTTAATTTTTTAAAGAGTTTTAAAATTGGTTTTGAAATTTTTTAAAGTTTTCAAGATTTGTTTCAAGTACTTTTTGTTAAGTTTAAAGTATATTTTCAAGTACTTTTCAATATTTTAAAGTTTCAAAAATTTTTTCAAGTACTTATTTTTGACAGATTTAATTCAGTTTTCAAGTACTCTTAAAGAGTTCTTTTTTCTATTTTCAAGTACTTTTCAATACTTTGAAATTTCAAAAAAATGTTCAAGTACTTAATTTTTTAAACAGTTTTAAAATTAGTTTTGAAATTTTTTAAAGTTTTCAAAACTTGTTTCAAGTACTTTTTGTTAAGTTTAAAGTATATTTTCAAGTATTTTTCAATATTTTAAATTTAAAAAAAAAAATTCAAGTACTTATTGGATTTAAAATTTCAAGTGCTTCTTATTTACATCGGATTTTTTGGTAAATTTTTCTCGAAAATTTCCAAGTTTTGAATTTTTTTTAAGTACTTTAAAATTCAACTTGAAGTTTCAAGTACTTGTTTGTTAACATTGAATTTTTTTTTTTAAGTTTTCTTAGATGTTTATCGAAGTTTTCTAAGTTTTGAAAATTTTTCCAAGAATTTTTCCCCATTTTTTTAAGTTGGATTTAAAATTTCAAGTACTTGTTTTTAACAATTCGAAACTGCTTTTGATATTGTTTTAAAATATACTACTTTCAAAGTAATTTTCAAGTACTTTTCAATACTTTAAAGTTGAACTTGAAGTTTAATGAAAATTTTCAAGTACTTATTTTTGAATAGTGTAAAATCACTTTT